CCAACCCCATGAATCTGAGCTCTGACGAACACTCTTGCTTGTTCAGGACTTTATCCAGCCATTAACATTGTAGAAAGTTCTTAAGCAATGAAAATGGAATACATTTGCTTGATGTGATTCTAATACATTATCCATGCCTTTTTTTAAAAATTAATTGAATGAATAATTGGCTAGGCAGCATTTATTGCCCATCCCTAATTGCCCAGAGGGCAGGTAACAGTCAACCACATTGCTGTGGGTCTGGAGTCACATGTAGGCCAGACTAGGTAAGGATGGCAGTTTCCTTCCCTAAAGGGCATTAGTGAACCTGGTGGGATCTTCCCCCAGCAATCAACAATGGATTCACAGTCGTCCTTGGACTCTTAATTCCAGATATTTATTGAATTCAAATTCCACCATCTGCCATGGCGGGATTCAAACCTGGGTCCCAAGAACATTATTTGGATCTCTGGATTGACAGTCCAACGATAATACCGCTAGGCTATTGCCTCACAACCACAGAATGGTAATGGGAGAACCAGTCCCAGATAGTGTTGGATTGTTGTTTAGATGTTAGACAAAAATGATGAACAAGAAATTGGGATAATTAGCATCCATTTCTTGGGTACCCTTAACAGCTTCAAAAATATGATCTGTTACACAAGCACATTTGACAGTAGAACTGACAGATGCTATCCTAATGAATGTGCGCAACTGTTCCATGAATGTTTAGCAAAATGCAGCTAATACAATGGACTCAATTTTGCTATTTTTAGGCAAAATGGTTTTTTGAGTGAGATTCACATGCCACGACCACCATAGAGATAGCAAGAACTGCCGATGCTGGAGTCAGAATCAATACAGTGTAGAGCTGGAGGAACACAGCAGGTCGGGCAGCATCAGAGGAGCAGCAAAGTTGACATTTCAGGTTTACACCCTTCATCAGGACTGATGAACTGGGGAGGTTCTAAGGAAAGGTCACTGGACCCAAAACATTAACTATGATTTGTCTTCACAGATACTGTCAGACCTGCTGAGCTTTTCCAGCAACTTCTGTTTTTGTTTCTGATTCACAGCATCCACAGATCTTTTGGTTTTTGTTATCTTCTCAGTTTACCAAAAGGACAGGGTGGTGAAGAAGAGGGCAGTGCTGGATCCTGCAGACCACCAAAGATGCTCAGTCAACCTGACCAGATGGTGGTCAGCTCAATGCAGTGTCCTAGATTAAATGCAATGCAAAGTAATGCAGGCAGAAGGTTAATGATCTGAATTTTCTAAGGGCAATCTATTGTGCACGCTAAGGGCCACCAGTCATTCTGCACATATGTAACTATGGCTCAATATCCGAACTCTGATACGCATTAGTATCTGACATAACCCCTGCCAACTCCCAGGGCTAGAATTGGTGAAGCAGACAGACTGTGGCAGTACCCCTTGACTAATCGTAGTTCCCCTAGATCTCACTAAAGACTGCTACCTTTTCACTCTCAGATGTGGACATTTGGTTGAAACACATGCGGTGAGTTGTTACATAAGATGCTGGTGTGACACTGGTGTAGCACAGAGCTGTGCAGCGATAAGTACACCCAATTGACTGTTCAGTGCTTCAAACCATGACATTCCCTATGCACTAAAAAGCAATACTAGTTAGAGAGGCTGGTAGCCTCCAAGTTAGTACAAATTGTTCGAGTACAAATTAATGAAGCTAACAGCCATAAGATGCAATCTATGTAGAAGCACAAAATGCATATGTGCCTCTGTGTGAAAAGTGACCTAATAGAAGCATGCAAGTCATATTTGTGCCACACAAATCTAAGGCAACAACCAACTCCAACAAGAGTCTTAACTATCTTCCATTCATTTATAAGTTAACAATGTTACCATTTCTGAAACCCCAACTATAAATATCCTGCAGATTATTATTAACTGGAAACTGAACTCGACCAACCACATAAATACTTTCTGAAGAAGGGTCTAGGCCCAAAACGTCAGCTTTCCTGCTCCTCTGATGCTGCTTGGCCTGCTGTGTTTATCCAGCTCTACACCTTGTTATCTCAGATTCTCCAGCATCTGCAGTTCCTACTATCTCTGAAACAATTTTAACCCCACTGCGAAGCCTCTTCTAAGGATGCCTACCTTGAAGTTACCCTCCTCCCTCCAGAAAGACCTCAGTGGATTTCTCTCCTACTGCAACTCTCTCGTAATCTCTTCGGCCCTGAAACTGCTCGACCACGTCCTGAAGCAAACCAGGTACTACAGCCACATTACCTTTCTTAGTAACTGCCTATGGAACCGGATCATCCCCAATGGACTACATTTAGGCCTTCCCAATTTGGCCGCTACCGTGACAACCGCTACATTCAGAAGATTGAGATCCTTCAAAAACGTTTCTCCCTGCGACTCCTCAAACACACACTCGCAGCAATGCGCCGGCATTTCCTGGTACTACAATCAAGCCTACTCCAGCTCAGAGCCTCCCTCTCCCAGGCCTGCAAAGGACCTCTCCTGTTTTTCATTTTCTTCGCAGGATCCACAACCTGAACTCATAATTCTAATCGGCTTTATTGGACACTAAAAACCGTAAGTACACTAAACTTACTGGTGCCTGCCACCCAACACAGGCCTCCTCCACCCCCCAAATCCCCAACCCTACCCAGGACCTTCCCCACAATGTGCCCACCGCCATTGGCCATGTGGCCACTTTCAGAGAACCCACTGATGACAAATTTCTGAAGAAGGGTCTAGGCCTGAAACGTCAGCTTTCCTGCTCCTCTGATGCTGCTTGGCCTGCTGTGTTCATCCAGCTCTACACCTTGTTATCACATAAATACTGTGGCTGTAAGACCAGGATAAACTTTGGAGTTCTGCACAAGTAACTCATTTGCTGACACCTCAGCCTGTCCACCATTTGTAAAGGTACAAGACTGATTATGATGGACTACTCTCCTTTTCTGTGGATGAGTGCTCCAACAACACTCAAGAATCTTGGCATCATCCAGCATAAAAAAAAACACCTGATTAACATCACATCCTGCAACATATACTCCATCCACCTCCTATACACTGTGACAACAGCATGTTCTTTTTACAATCAGAAATGGAGCAAGGCTCCTTCAACAACAGCTTCTAAACACACAACTTCTACCAACTAAATGGGTGAGGGCAATAGATTCATAGGAATGCTACCTCCTGCCAATTCCCCTCAAGCCACATACCATCCTGACCTAAAATTATATCACAACTGTTCCTTTACTTACTGTTGCTGGGTCTTCATTCTTGAACTCTTTCCTAACAGCTCTGTGGGTGTCGCTCACCTCCATGGACTGCACCAGTTTAAACAAACATTAAGGTCATCAGGGATGGGTAATAAATGCTGGCTAAGCCAATGACAGCTAAATCAGAATTTTTTTTAAAGTGTTGCTGGAAAGGCCAGTTTTTGTTGCTCATTGCTCTTCAGCAGGTGTTGCTGATCTACCTTCAGAACTGCTTGGTACATGGGCATCAAAGAGGTGTCATTCACAGCTTGGGAATCAAAAGAAAGTGTCAAATTATTGGGGGTGGGGGGCACAGGTGGGAGGGATTGGCGGATATGATAAGAAGGATTAGATATGAGGAGATGTTTCTCTTCAATAGTTACAGCCCTGCCATGGCCTCAGTAATGAGTGCCCCAGTAATGGCCAGCACCACCATCTCTTTAGGGTTTAGTACATACAGTTATCCTTGTCCCCTATCAGCTATGGGTAAGAGAGATGAAAGTGTGTCTCAGAATGTTGTGCCCTAATTTATTTGGGTGATGTAGCTGTCATGGATAGTTGCTGACAGTGTACAAGCTGTGGTTGGGAGGCTTACAACACAGCAAAGCCTGGGAGGGTAAGCAGAACCATATGAATGTTAAGTATAAGCTCTGATTGATAGAAATTATTAGCAGATGGTTAATAGGTATGTGGTGATTTGAGCAGAATCTGCAGTTAGCAGTGCAGCTGCTAGAATATGACATTTGAAAATGCATTTTGTGACCTTGAGCATTTGTGCAACAATAGTATTCAGGTACTCGAGTTGCTTATGGCATTGGCCTTCGCAGATATCCGCTCTCTCAGCTTTTCAGCGTGCGTGGATTGCCTGTTGCCTTCTTACAATACAAGACATCAGTCTAACTATCCAGCTTTTTCACCAAGGCCTTCAGTGCTGTGTTCAAAATCATTAAATCCCACTTTCTCCATTTTGTGCTATTCTTCACTGTTTCCCAGGTCAGATACATCTCCTTCTTGACTGCCAGCACTTGAATCAACAATAATGTTGCCTCCCTTTTTGAGATGCACATTAACTTTAAATGATGTTACCAGATTGTAATTTTGAGCATAATTCTGATACAAGCAGCAAATAAACAAAACAGTTGGTGCTGGCCACATGCAGCAACCATTCAAATGATCAGGCAACATGAAGTTGGCATTTGAATAAAAGCAAACTACTGCAGGTGCCAGAAATCTGAAACAAACAGTGAATGCTGCACAAACTCAGCAGGTCCGGCATCATCCATGGAGAGAGGAATGGGTGAGGTGGCAGGTGGATGAATTGGGTAAGTGTAAGTGGGTGAGATGGATAGGTGGATCAGCAACTCAGTCTGGGAAGGGTAGTTGGGTCAGGTCATGGGGATAATAAGACGGCTGGAGGTTAAGGGTCAAGGGGTAGAAGTGGGGGAGGTGATAGTGAGGTCCAATCAGGTTGGGAATTAGATGGGAATGTAGTCGGGGAGAGGGTGTGGTTCAATCATAGCTATAATCTAGTGTTGACACTGGAATATTTCTCTCCAACAATTCCTGCATAACTATTCCAAAATCTTTGAATCTACTTCAGAGATATTAATGGAGTGTTCCATGGAGCAAGGGAATTGCCCAGAAATTGTCCGGGCAATGTCGAGGAGGTCAACGCATTGGGATTTCTTGGGTCACATGTTCAGTCTCCAATATTCCAGAGACCAGAAGATCTGGGCTGTAATTCTCAAAAAATAAGTTGAAGCCTACTTTATTCCATATGCAAGGATGATCATTCCAATGAGAATCCCTATACTGCCATCCAAATACCAGACACCAGGATTATGATTGTAGACTTCTGCACTGATCAGTATAGAAAATGCCATGATGCCTCCAACTAAAGAGTTAAAACCTGCAAGACAGAAAGACAGGAATATAACTGTGAATGCCAATAGTTGGACAGTTGCCAGATGGTGTATTGTAACAACTTAACCAACTGATTCAAAATTAGTTCTAAATCAATTAACAGGAGTTAATGCCGAATCTTTTCAAAAGTAAACTGAAATGTGATTTAGATGTAAAAACAATTATCTGTTCAACAGTAATTAATAAAAATATATTTCAGAGAGACCATAAGGAAGACTCAGAGGCAGTCAGCATTAACTGGAACAGCAAGTGAAAGGGGGGCCAGAGGCAGAGTGCTGACAGTTGGAATTGTTTCTTACTCTACTACATGGTAAGATGCTAATTGCTTGCTGAGTATCTAGTAAGTGATTAATGCCTATTCGATTCCTAAGTTTTAAAATAGTATAATAACTAGTTGCAGTGTTTATAATAATATAAAAGAAACAAATACTTACGCAATTTATTCAAACAGTTAATTTAAAAACAGAATAAGGGTAATAGGTAATCTGTCAGTTTCAGTACGTAAACACTTATAGATGCCATGGTGATCCTGGGCAAACACATCTACAATCAGTATTTACTGCTCAAGCGGCTCTAGGTCTGAATTAATGAGCTTGAGGCTGAACTGCAGAGACTGTGGCACATCTGAAAAGGAGAAAGTTACCTGGAAATTTGTGTCAGGAAGGCATCAGATCCCTTAGCACAGAGTCTTCTTATTGACCAGAAGTCAGGGAAGGGAGTGTGTGCCTATCAGTGAGCCAAAAAAATGAAACCCCAAAAGCAAAACTGCAAGAGCCTCAGCCTTTGCAATTGTGCAATAGGTACGAGATCCTTTGTGCTTGTCTGGATGAGAATGAGGGCTGGGGGGCGGATGAGTTAATTAGCCATGGCATCATGGAGTTTCAATGGCACCCACCATCTCTGAACCTTTCACTATTGAATCCTGGCATTACCACTGATCAGAAACTTTACTGAAGCAGTCACTTGCCCCTGTGGCTACAGGGGCAAGTTGGAGGCTAAGAATTGTGTTGTGAATAATTGACTTCTTGTCTTCGCGGTACCTGCCCACCGTCTACAAGGCATAAGTCAGGAATGTAATGGAATACTCTTCACTTGCCTGGAATGGGGACTCAAGAAACACTCAAGAAACTTGACACCATTCAGGACAAAGCAACCAGCATTATTTGCACCAGATCCACCACTTTCAACATCCACTCCCTTCACCATCAGCATGTTTGATAGCAGTGCTTACTGTCTACAAGATACACTGCCACAATTAACCTGGCTCCTTCAACAACAGCTTCCAAACCCATGACCTCTACTGCCTGGAAGGATAAGGCAGCAAATGCATGAGACCACTCCTACCTGTAAGCTCCCATCCAAGTCACACACCATCCTGACACAGAACAATATTGTTCTTTGTTCACTGTCACTGGGTCAATATCCTGGAATTCCCTCCTTAATAGCCCTGTGGCTATACCACAGCAGCAGTATGAGGATGCAACTCATGTTGTCAAGGCCAGTTAGGGATAGGCAGCAAATGCTGGTCTGGTCAATGTTGCCTGCATCCACTTAATGAATTTAAAAAGAACATTTCAACACCTGCTTCACCCCTCTGTTATGAAAGAGCTGTGATTTCTGCCAAAAAAAAAACACCTGATCTTTCAGCAGAATTTATTTTTTGGTCAGCAGTAGGTACCTCACTTAACCACTGACCACCAGTGATCACTAGTGATCACTTGCATTGACCATGCTACAGACACTAGCATAAAACTTCACAAAAGGGTCAGTATAAATAGTTGGCATTATTCTTGGTCACAGATGGGTGAAGAAATGGCAATGTTAATAGGAATGAAAATGAATAAGCTGGCACTTCATTTGCTTTGAGTCATGCAACAGCTTTTTATATTGGCATCAGAGGTGAAAATAATTATCCTACTGTCTACTGCATAGTAGGTTTTGCTTATGGGTATTGCATTTTTGCAAGGATTAGGGTAGGTAGTTTGCAGTATTAGCCGTGTAGCAGAGTTTGATCAATTAATATATTTAAAATTAAATATTATTTGACACTTCTAGCAAGTATTGATCCCTGGCAATCTGTTTAGTCTCCGACATGTTATCTTCCACTTCATTAGCCTGAATGCCTTTCTCCCCTAAAATTCCATGTGTAGATTATTGTTGCACAACTCAGTTGTTGTGTCTGATGCAAACCAAATGCATGACATAGGTTGGGCCACACAATAGTATACCCCTTGGCCTGTGGAAACTTTAATATTCCTATAGCCTGCTGCTGCACATCTGTAAAGAAGCACTGATTTCATTGTAGTGTGGAGCTGGAGGAACACAGCAGGTCAGGCAGCATCAGAGGAGCAGGAGAGTTGATGTTTTGAGCCTAGACCGTTCATCAGGAGTCCTGATGAAGGCTCCAGGCCCAAAATGTCATCTCTCCTCCTCCTTTGATGCTGCCTGACCTGCTGTCTTCCTCCACATTGTATCGACTCTGACTCCAACATCTGCAGTTCTTGCTATCTCCGTTGATCTCATTGTACCTATGTTTAATAGGGGAATTTGGAGGTCATACATGTGTCATCTGTTTCCAAAGGTTCGTCTTCCGAGAAGTCCATAATCTTACAATCTGACCTCTGGTGGATTCCTGACATCCTTCGCCCCATCATCAGCAGTCTTACCTCTGGTTGTCTAGGCGTTAAAACACTGGAATTCCCTTCCTAAACCTCTCTGCATCTCCACTCATCCTCCCTCCTTTAAGTGACTTTAAAATATGCTCCTGAACAAACTTTCAGTCATAGAGCCCATTTTTATTTTCCTTGGCTTGGAGACAGTTTACACGCGATTAGGCAGTCACTAAGGATCAAGAATGCTCCCTTTCTAGTTTAATTGATTGTAAGATGTCTCATACATCAAGTGTGGAATCTGCAGATTCAGCCACGAACAGGGTAATTGGTCCTTGATGAGTTGAGTGGATGGGCTATTTGGAGGGTTACTGTAATGTGGAATTGTCTGGCTAATGTTTGGAAGTGATTTAGTCCTTGTTTGACTACAATGTATGCAGTGTTAGATCTTAATTCTGGAGATTAGGATGTATAATCAATTTGGTTAGAAATGAGAAATTGTCAAGGTATTGAAGTCATCTGTGGGAGTGGTTTCTCGGCTCCCTAACAGCAACCATACTGTAGGACAGAATATACAGGAAAAATTGATAGGGCTGAATGGGCTTGTGAGAAAGGTACAGTGACAAACATGGGTAATTTTAATCTACATATGGATTAGATCAGGCAGATTGGCAAGGACAACTAGGACATGAACTCAGAGTTTTCAGCAGTTTCTTAAAACAGCATGTTCTAAAGCCAACCAGAGTTCAGGAGATACTAGAACTGGTAATGTGCAATGAGACAGGATTAATTAATGATCCCATGGGAATAGCATTCCCAAGTAACAGCTACCATAATGTGATTGATTTATATATTCAGTTTCAGGCAAGAATGTGGATCTAAAACTGGTGTTTTAAACTTAAACAAGGGCAATTGTGAGGGCTGAAGTACTGAGCTGGCTAGAGTTAACTGAGAAACTGGGTTAAGGGATAGAGATACAGTGGCAGACATTTAAGGAGATATTTCAGGATACTCAGAAAATATGCTTTCCAGTGAGAAAAAAAGCTTCGAAAGGAAACAGAGATAACACAGTGTGGAGCAGGAGGAACACAGCAGGCCAGGCAGCATCAGAGGAGCAGGAAAGTTGATGTTTCGGGTCGGGACCCTTCTTCAGAAATGGGGGAGGGGAAGGGAGCTCAGAAATAAATAGAGAGAGGAGGGCTGGGGCTGGGGAATGTAGGTGGGATGGTGACAGGTGAGTGCAGGTAGGGCTTGGTGGGGATTGGTCAGTGAGGTGGGAGGAGCGGTGGGAGAGAAAATGGATAGGTTGTGTCAGGTCCAGGTGGTGGGGATGAGAGGGAGGGTTGGTCATGGGATGAGGCTGGGGGTGGGCAGATTTTGAAACTGGTAGAATTCACATTTAGGCCATTGGGCTGAAGGCTCCCAAGGCGGAATATGAGCTGCTGCTCCTCCAGTTTCCGGGTGGTGTCATTCTGACACAGGATGAGGCCCAGGATGGACATGTCGCCCAGGGAGTGGGAGGGGGAGTTGAAATGTTTTGCAACCGAAAGGTGTTGTCGTTTGTTGCAAACAGAGCGCAGATGCTCTACAAAGCAGTCTCCAATCCTCCACTTGGTCTCACCAATGTAGAGGAGATTACATAGTGAGCAGCGGATGCAGTAGACCACATTGACGGATGTGCAGGTAAATCTCTGTCTGATATGAAAGGTTTGTTTGGTGCTTTGAACGGAGGTGAGGAGGGAGTTGTAGGTGCAGGTGTAGCACTTCCTGCAGTTACGGGAGAAGGTGCAAGGGGTGGTGGGGCTAGTGAGGAGTGTGGAGCGGACGAGGGAGTCATGGAGACAGCGGCCCCTATGGAAGGCAGATAGAATAGAATTCCTATAGTGTGGAAACAGGCCCTTCGGCCCAACAAGTCCACACCCACACTCAGAGCATCCCCCCTCCAGGCCCATCCCCCTATAACCCACCTAATCTACACATTGCTGAACACTGCAGGCAATTTAGCACGGCCAATCCACCTAGCCTGCACATCTTTGGACTGTGGGAGGAAACCGGAGCACCCAGAGGAAACCCACGCAGACACGGGTAGAATGTCCACACAGCTGCCTGAGGGGGAATCAAACCAAGGGCCCTGGCACTGTGAGGCAGCAGTATTAACCACTGAGCCACCGTGTCACCCCGTGGGGTGGGGAGGGAAATATACCTGGATGTGGGGTCAGATTGCAGGTGGCGGAAGTGGCAGAGAATGGTACGGTGAATCTGGAGGTTAGTGGGGTGATATGTGAGGACAAGGGGAATTCTGTCTTTGTTTTTGTTGTGGGGAGGGCATGTGAGGGCAGAGGTGTGGGAAACGCAAGAGATATGGTCGAGAGCTTTTTCGACCACTGAAGGGGCGAAGTCGCGATCCTTGAAATAAGAGGACATCTAGGATGTTCGGGAGTGGAATGCCCCATCTTGGGAGCAGAGGTGGTGGAGGCGGAGGAATTGGGAGTAGGGGATCGCATTCTTGCAGGAAGGTGGGTGAGAGGAGGTGTAGTCTAGGTAGTTGTGGGAGTCCGTGGGCTTGAAATAAATGTCGGTTTCAAGGCAGTGACCAGAGATGGAGACAGAGAGGTCCAGGAAGGAGAGGGAGGTATCAGAGATGGTCCAGGTGAATTTGAGGTTGGGGTGAAAGGTGTTAGTAAAGTTGATGAACTGTTCAAGCTCCTCGTGGGAGCATGAGGCAGCACCGATACAATCATTGATGTAGCAGAGGAAGAGGTGGGGAATAGTGCCAGTGTAGCAGCAGAAGAAGGACTATTCCACGTATCCTACAAAGGGGTAAGCATAGCTTGGGCCCATGCGGGTTCCCATGGCCACCCCCTTAGTCTGTGGGAAGTGGGAGGAGTTAAAGGAGAAGTTGTTAAGGGTAAGGACGGGTTTGGTTAAGTGGATGAGGGTGTCACTGGAGGGGGACTGGTTGGGCCTGCGGAGAGGACGAAGCGGAGGGCTTTTAGACCATCCCCGTAGGGAATGCAAGTGTACAGGGATTGGATGTCCATAGTGAAGATGAGGTGTTGGGGGCCAGGGAATTGGAAGTTTTGGAGGAGGTGGAGGGCATGGGTGGTGTCCTGGACGAAGGTGGGGAGTTCCTGGACCAGGGGGGAGAAAACAGAGTCAAGGTAAGCAGAGATAAGTTCAGTGGGGCAGGAGCAGGCCGGGTCGGCCGGTTTGTGGATTTTGGGAAGGAGACAGAAATGGGCAATGTGGGGTTGGGGAACGATGAAGTTGGAGGCTGTTGGTGGGAGGTCACCTGAGGTGATGAGGTTGTGAATGGTTTGAGAAGCTAGCTAAACAGGATAGTATCAAATTGAAAGAAAAGACATATAAATCCACAAAGGTGAGTGACAGATCAGAAAATTGGCCAAAATATAAAGTTCAGCAAAGAATGACGAAAGACTAATAAGAATTGAGTATGAGAGAAAACTAGCTGGATATATAAAAACAGAAAGTAAGAGTTTCTACAAGTATTTAAAAATGAAAGGAGTAATTAAACAGAGCATTGGTTCTCTAAAGATTGTCTGGAAACGTAATAATGAAAAACAAGGAAATGAAAGATTAATTAAACAGATATTTTGCCATCTGTCCTCACTGTATATGATACAAACAGCATCCCAGAAATAGTTATGAATGACAACGTAAAAGGAACACAAGAACTAGGAACAAAAGTAGGCAATTCAGCCCTTCAAACTTGGCAATGTAATATGATCATGGCTGATCTCAGCAAATAACTTAAAACAATTACATTCACAAGGATAAAGTGTTGAGAAAAGTATTAGGACTAAAATCTAGTCCTGGGTGCCCTGGCCTTGATGGACTTCATCCTAGGATGTTAAAAGAAGTAGCTGCTAATAGAATAAATTTACTGTTTTTCCTTTTTTAAATTCCCTAGCTTTTCATGACTTTGGACAATTGTAAACTTTACTCCTCTATTCAAGAAATAAGGGAGACAGACAGCAGAAAACTATAAACTGGTGAGCCTAAATGTCACAGGAAAATGCAGGAGATTTAGAAAATCTTAAAGCAGAATGGTTAGTGAAAGAAAAACTACATTTGATTATTTTAGTGGAGTTCTTTGAAAAAGTAACAAACAACATATTTAAAGGAGCAGGAATAGATTTGCTGTACTTAGAAGAGATTTGACAAGGTGCAACATCAAAGTTTACTATGCAAAGTAAAAGTTAGATGTAGGGGCAACTTACTTGTACAGATAGAGGATTGGTTGGCTAATAGGGAGCAGAGGATCAGAATAACTGGGTTGTTTTTAGGTTGGCAGAATGTGATGACTGCTGTGTCACAGGGAACAGTGTTGGGGCCTCAAATATTTACAATCAACTTGAATGACTTAGATGAAGGTGTGAGTATGTAGATATAGATAGGTCAAGTGAATGGGCAAAAATTGGGCTGATGAAGAATAACATGGGAAAATGTGAACTTCTCCACTGTGTCAAGAAGAATATAAAAGCCACATATTATTTAAATAAAAAGAGATTGCAGAGCTACAGATTGATCTGGTACTTCTCATACAGGTAAATAATTAGAAAGGCCAATGGATTGTTGCCAGTTATTGCAATGGGGATGGAATATAAAAGTAAGGATGCTTTGCTACAGTTATATAGACTGGCTAGCAAAGTTAGATCACATGGGGTACAGGAAGAACTAGCCATTTGGATACTGAACTGCCTAGGTAGTGGTGGAGGGTTGTTTATCAGACTGGAGGACGGTGACCAATGGTATGCCACAAGGATTGGTGCTGGGCCCACTGCTTTTTGTCATTTATATAGATGATTTGGATGTGAACACAGGAGGTCTGGTTAGTAAGTTTGCAAATGACACCAAAATTGGAAGTGTAGTGGACAGCAAAGAATGTTACGTCAGAGGACAACAGGATCTTGATCAGATGGACCAATGGGCTGAGGAGTGGCAGATGGAGTTTAATTTTGATAAATGTGAGGTGATGCATTTTGGAAAGACGAATCAGGGCAGGACTGATACATTTAATGGTAAGGTCCTGGGGAGTGCTGCTGAACAAAGAGACTGTAGGGTGCATGTTCATAGTTCCTTGAAAGCGGAGTCACAGGTAGATAGGATAGTGAAGAAGGCATTTGGTATGCTTGCCTTTATTGGTCAGCGTATTGAGTATGGGAGTTGGGAGGTCATGTTGCAGCTGTACAGGGCATTGGAATACTGTGTTCAATTCTGGTCTCCCTGCTATGTGGAACTTGAAAGGGTTCAGAAAAGATTTACAAGGATGTTGCCATGATTGGAAGGTTTCAGATATAGGGAGAGGCTGGAGAGGCTGAATAGGCCAGGGCTATTTTCTCTGGAGCGTCAGAGGCTGAGGGGTAACCTTATAGAGGTTTATAAAATCATGAGGGGCATGGATAAGGTGAATAGCCAAGGTCTTTTCCCTGGGATGGGGGAGTCTGAAACGAGAAGGCATAGGTTTAAGGTGAGAGGGGAAAGATTTAAAAGGGACCTGAGGGACAACTTTTTCATGCAGAGGGTGATGCATGTGTGGAATAAGCTGCCAGGGGAAGTAGTGGAGGCTGATACAATTACAACATTTAAAAGGCATCTGGATGGATACATGAATAGAAAGAGTTTAGAGGGATTAGGGCCAAATGCTGTTAGCGGGACTAGATTAATTCAGGATATCTGGTTGGCATGGTCTGAAGAAGGGTCTAGGCCCAAAACGTCAGCTTTCCTGCTCCTCTGATGCTGCTTGGTCTGCTGAGTTCATCCAGCTCTACACCTTGTTATCTAAGTTAAACTGAAGGGTCTGTTTCCATGCTGTACAGTTCTATGACTTTGTATAGAATGTTGGCAAGGCCTCATCTGAAGTATTGTGTGCTATTTTGCTCTTGTTATTTAAGGAAGGAAGAAAATATGTTAAAATTGGTTGAAAAAAAATTCAACCAGCTGATACCTAGGATGGGGGTGGGGGTGTTACTTAATGAGAGAAAGTTCATTTGGGATTGTATCCATTCATGCTCAGAAGACTGAGAGATGATCCAATTAGAACCTTTCATATATTGAGGAGACTGTCAGATGGATGCAGAAAGGATGTTTCCCTGAGTTAGTTTGAGAGAGAGGAACTAGGAGTCACGGTTTAAAAGTAAGGGGTCTCCCATTTAGAATCAAGATAAGGAGGAATTTTTTTTTCTCTGCAGGATATCATAAGCTCTGGGTCTCTCTTCTCACAGAGTGGTGGAGGCAAATTGAATATCTTTAAGGCAGAGGCATAGACCAACAAGGGAGTCAAAGATTATTGGAAGTAGGCAGAAATATGAATTTGAGGCCACAACTGTAACTGCCATCATCTTATTAATTGGCAGGGCGGTCTGAAGGGGCTGAGTGGCCTAATCCTGCTCCTAAGTCATATGCACATAAGTATGTTTTGAAATGAACAAAATTGCTTTTATTAGTAACAGGTATTCAAAAGGAATTAACATTAAAGCCTATGTCTAATATCAGAAATTTGAGAATGGATAACAGCAGCTATTGCTCTCACAGGTGTGATGAGCCACATATGCTAAACTTTTTATGATTCTATTGCCCATATATTTTCAGTCATCATGTTTACAGTTTGCACTGCATTGCTCCAGTGTACCATACCTTCCTGTTTCCCATGCTACTCCATGAATATTTTATTTCTAATTTAAATATTTTAATTGACCATACATCAGAAGATTATATTTGTGAAGTGTCAACACTCACCATCAGTTATCAGGGCTTTGCTTGTGAGGATTCTACCAAGCATAAACTTAACCACAGCCAGAATACTGCAGAGTACTCCACTAATGATTGAAACACTAAAAAGGAAATCATCCTAAAAACAAAGAATACATGTTTTAGTGCAAGATCCAACTGTGTTAATACATGACTTGTTTATATTTAGATATATTACAAGAATATCTTGGAGAATTCAGAGATTTTTTTAACAGCAAAACAAACTGATTTATTTGTATTTTAGAATGGTGTTATTATCCAGAAGGAAAAATGTAAACCATGTGGCAGCAATGAAATATGTTACTTCAATCTATATGTCATGGAGCCACAGAGATGTATAGCACGGAAACAAATCCTTTGGTTCAACTCATCCATGTTGACTGGATATCCTAAATTAATCTAATCCCATTTGCCAGCATTAGGCCCATATCCCTCTAAACCCTTCCTATTCATATACCCATCCAGATGCCTTTTAAATGTTGTTATTGTACCAGCCTCCACCACTTCCTCTGGCGGCTTGCTTCATACACGCACCACACTCTGCATGAAAAAGTTTCCCCTTAGGTCCCTTTTAGGTCTTTGCCCTCTCACCTTAAACCTATGCCCTCTAGTTTTGGACTCCCCACCCGGGCTAAAAGACCTTAGTTAGTCACCCTATCCATTCCCTCATGATTTTATAAACCTCTATAAGGCCACCCCTCAGCCTATTCAGCCTCTCCTTATAGCACGAACACTCCAACCCTGGCAACATTCTTGTCAACCTTTTCTGAACCCTTTCAAGTTTCACAACATCCTTCCTATAGCAGGGAGACCAGAGTTGCACACAGTATTCCATAAGAGGCCGAACCAATGTCCTGTAAAGCTGCAACATGACCTCCCAATTCCTATACTCAATGCACTGACCTAAAAAGGCAATTGTATCAAATGCCTTCTTCAATATCCTATCTACCTGTGACTCCACTTTCAAGGAACTATGAACCTGTACTCCAAGGTCTCTTTGTTTTGCAACACTCCTCAGGACCTTACCATTAGGTGTATAAGTCCTGTCCTGATTTGCCTTTCCAAAATGTAGCACCTCACATTTATCAAAATTAAACTCCATCTGCCACTCCTCGGCCCATTGGTCCATTTGATCAAGTTCCTGTTGTACTCTGAGATAACCTTCTTCGCTGTCCACTACGCCTCCAAGTTTGTTGTCATCTGCAAACTTACTAATCATACCTCCTATGTTCACATCCAAATCAGTTATATAAATGATAAAAAGCAGTGGGCCCAGCACCGATCCGTGTGGCAGACCGCTGGTCACAGTTCTCCAGACTGAGAAGCAACCCTCCAACACCACCCTCTATCCTCTATCTTCGAGGCAGTTCTTTATCCAAATGACAAGTTCTCCCAGTATTCCATGTGATCTAACCTTGCTAAGCACGTCTTTAACCTTTCGCTGTCATTGTTCTAACACTTTGAAACTGAGAGAAAAGCATGTTGAAAACGTATTTTTAAAACCTCAACATTCAATAAAACTCAAAATATCAAATATTTCTGAGTTCAATAAAGTAAGAAACAAAGATCAATCCAAGACAGAACTTTACAAGCTGAGAACTGGGACAATAGAAAATACTCACTGGAAATATACAAAAGCACCATGATGAGACTTACCAACAACCTTTTTCTGAGCTTTGAAGAGGTTATCTCAAGAAAGTAATAATTATCTAAATGGTCATCCAAGACTTCTAAGAGATAAGAAGTGCAATGAAGAAAATTTTAAAAGTACAAACAAAATGTCTTTTTGTCTTTTTGATTGAGGTACACAACATTAAAGGCCTTTCAGTATATTGTGTCCCTGCTGGCTCTTTGCAAGAGCAACTCAGCTGTTTCCACTCCACTACCTTTCCCCAGTGGCCCTGAGAACATTTCTCCTCAGACATTTTTTCAATTATCTTTTAAAAATGTACGATTGAATCTGCTGTACTCAGGTGATTTAGTACACAGCCTAAACACTAGGTGTAGAGAAAGGTTCTTCTACATGTCATGTTGGGTCTTTTGCCATCCACTTCCAATTGGTGCTGTCTGATTTTCAACATTCCAATGGAAACTGTGTCTACCTATTTGTCCAGATACTTCATGATTTTGAATATTGTCAATATATCTCCTTCAAACCTCTTCTTCCCCAAGGAGGCAAACAGGAATTTCTTCAATCTATCCATGTAACTGAAGCCCATCATCCCTGGAACCACTCTTGTGAATCTTTTCTATAACCTCCTTAAAGCCTTCACATCCTTCCTAAAGTGTAGTTCCAGTCATAATGCTCTCATCGAAGCCAAACTAGTGTGTTAGAAATCATCACTATAACTTACATGCTTTTGAATTCTATGCCTCTATTTCCAGTATTCCTTTTTAAACTTTTTCTCAATCTGCCACACAACCTTATATTTTTGGAGCAGATAAAAACCCAGGTCTGTTCTTGCACCCCTTTAGAATTGTATCCTCTACACTATTCGCTCTCTGACTCATTCTTCATACCAAAATACTCTCTGCATTAAATTTCATTTGCCACAGGTCCATCCATTCTACTTGTCATCATACTGTTGAAGTCTACTATCCTCCTCGCAGTTCACACTACTTCAAAGCTTCATGTCAACTTCAAATTTTGTAATTGTGCCTTGTATGCTTAAAATTACCTCATTATTACATATAGAGAAAAGCAGTGGTCCTGTGACCACTGGTAAATCCCCCTAAATAACTTCTTTGCATCAAGTAACAATCTTCATCACCATTCTCCAGTTCCTGTCAATCAGCCAGCCTTATTTCCATCTGCTGCTTTCTCTTTTATTCTATGGTCTTTAATTTTGCTGGAAAATCCATTTTATGAACACCTTAGGAAGTACATGGATATGATATTAACTGTATTAGCCTCATCAACCCTCTTTGTTACGACACCAAATAAAACAAGCTTGAGCTGGTTAAACATGATTTACTTTTAATCAATTCGTGCTGATCTCCCTTAGTTAATCCACAATAGTCAAGTGACTGTTAATTTTGCTTCAAATTATCATTTCTAAAAGTTTTCCCACCAATGAGGTTATACTGACTGCCCTGTAGTTGCTGGTTTATACTTCAAACCTTTCTTCAACAGAAGTGTAACATAGGCAATTCTCAGATCCTCTGGCACCACCTTCCCTCATATATCTAAGGAGGATTCAGAAGCTCATGGTCAATGCCTCTGCAATTTCCAGCCTGGCTTCACGCAATATCCTTGAAATTATCTCACCTCTCCTGGTGACTTATTAACTTGAATTACAGATAGCCTCTCCTCTCCACCATTTTTTAATCTCTCCAGTATTTCAACAATTAAAAGTACTCAGTTAGTACCTAATTAGAAAATTTTCAATTGGGCGTGCATAACAGCCAATGAATGCATATTTGTCATATTGGTGCAGTGGTTGTGTCGTGTCCCTACTTCTGAGCGAGAAGATTTGACTGTTAGAAGATCTGTCAGAAGACTTACACCAGTAGTACGTGTGAACAGGTTGATTTAAAATATTTTACTGTAGCATTTTATTCCTGCGCTGTACAGTTTTATTTTCTAATGCAATGTTAGCATCCCTCCCTCTGGGCCAGAAGGTCCAGTTACAAGATCAACAGTCATCGATGTAGTGGAGGAAGAAGTGGGAGATAGTGCCAGTGTAGCGCAACTTCCCCCCTTTCGTGGTTAAAAATGCTCTCGACTGCATCTGTTGCATTTCCCTCCCCCCAACAAAAACAAAGACAGAAACCCCCTCGTCCTCACGTATCACCCCACGAACCTCCGTGTCCAACAAATCTTTTTTCCACCACTTCCAATCTGACCCCACAACCAAAGATATATTTCCCTCCCCACCCCTATCTGCCTTCCGTGGGGACTGCTCTCTCCACAACTCCCTCATCTACTCCACACTCCCCACTAACCCCACCACCCCCGGCACCTTTCCCTGCAACCGCAGGAGGTGCGACACCTGCCCCTACACCTCCCCCCTCACCTCCATCCAAGGCACCAAAGAAACCTTCCATATCAGACAGAGGTTCAACTGCACATCATCAATGTGGTCTATTGCATCCGCTGTTCCCGATGTGGCCTCCTCTACATCGGTGAGACCAAGCGGAGGCTCGGAGACCACTTTGTAGAGCATCTGCGCTCTGTACACGACAAATGACAACACCTTCTGGTCACAAACAATTTCAGCTCCCCCTCCCACTCTCTGGGTGCCACGTCCATCCTGGGCCTCCTCCAGTGTCACAATGACACCACCCGCAAACTGGAGGAGCAGCACGTCATATTCCGCCTTGGGAGCCTACAGCCCAATGGCCTAAATATGGATTTCACCAGTTTCAAAATCTCCCCCCCCCCCCCCCCCCTGGCCCCCTCCCCTGGCCAACCCTCCCTCTCATCCCCACCTCCTTGATCTGACACAACCTATCCATCTTCTCTCCCACCTATCCGCTCCTCCCACCTCACTGACCAATCCCCACCAACCCCAACCTGCACTCACGTATCACTATCCCACCTACCTTCCCCAGCCCCAGCCCTCCTCTCTCTATTTATTTCTGAGGTCTGTCCCACCCCCCAGACCTCCCCACCCCCAATTCCTGAAGAAGGGTCCCGACCCGAAACGTCAACTTTCCTGCTCCAGTCATGGCAGATTACTGTTTTTCAGACTATGGAGTAATAGACCATGATATTTCCCCATGGTTCATTGCTAGAGCCAATATTCCTTCTAAATATTTTTTTCATCCACATGTGGAGTCAATTTTGTTCAGAACAAAATCAAGGCAATATATGGATACGCACACTAGTAAGAACAAAAGAACATATTTAAATTTTAAAATTTCCATAAGTAAGATAGGTGAAGATAGAATACCTTCCCCAGCTTATGTCAACATAACAAGTCCATAAATTACAAAATTTATTTGAATTAAATTTACCATGATGGTATTCAAACTCATGTCTTCTAGGTTTTAACTTCAATATCATAAGCACTGCACAACCAAATACGAGAGTGGCATTTCCCAACTTTATAGCTGGTATTTCTATTATTTGACAGAGAAAGGGAAATTCGCAGCAAG